CAAACTCGAGGGTAGGTACTTCCCATGCGATTAAGACGGCGATGCCGAAGCGCCGGCCCTGCTCGCAGCCGCCGGTGCTGTGCTGCTCCCAGCCCCAGCTCCTGGGGGTGCCGGCCGCCGGATCCTGGCAGCCAGCGCCAGCTAACACTTAGGAGCAAGGCGCCTTTTCAGAAGAGGACGTAAGCTCATTCTTCAGACTCCTGGAAAGGCGGATTTACTTCAAGAGCCAGATCTGCAGCGTGCGGAGCCCATCACAGCTCCATCCCACGTCAAGGGGACCCCGCTCCTGAAAGCTTGACTCCAGCTCTGAAAGTATTGGCAGTCTGCCCACGTCTGCTTTGCCCACGCCTGCGTTAACCCACATAGGCAGCTCTGCCGCGTTCAGGAGCAAATTCATTTCCCACGAAAAGAGAGCTCCGCGCAGAAAGCCTAAGTCTGCACAAGACGTTTGCACGGGGCTCCTCACAGGGTGCCGAGCTACCTCTGTGTTTGTTAATAAAGCAAGGCCGGCGTACAGGCTGCAGCGCCGGCCTCCGGTTTAATTTTTAGCCAACTGCCCATGGCGCAAGGTGGCCTTTGTGTTATTTTAGACACTTTGAGGAAAGAAAAAAAACGGCAAAATATCCGAGGGCCGCAAAATGAAACACAAACGTCTTAGGGCCGAAGGGACGCCAGCTGCGCCCAGAGACTATGCCTGGGCCAAGTGCTGCACAGAGTGAAGTGCTGGCCCTGTTTTATTTAGCAATTTGGATGTAATCAAAATGTCCTACTTAAGGACTGTTTATACTGGATGCAGTTTCGGTCCGTTATCAATGACAGGGTCATTTTGATTTTTTTTCCCCCCCACACAGGGTAAATGTAGCTCTTTTTGGTGCCGTTTCATGTATTGGCTTGAAAATGTTTTTTTATCTTCTATACCTGAAAGTATGTGTATGCCTGCTAGGAACGATCTGCGTGATTCATTTAGCAATGCTGTCTGCAGTAGCAGCATGATTTTGCCATTTATGGTTGTTAAAACGAAGGGCTGTGAACAGCATTAGACACAGAGGGTCTGAACTGCACGGTATTTTATACAGAGACTTCAATTTTAAGACTCTCCTACGCGTCATGTGAGCCAATTTGATTTTTTTTTTTTTAATGTTAGAAACACATTTTTAAACAAAGGCTGCCCTTCTTCTGTGAGGAGAAAATGTTATAGCAGGGGAGCTGGCAGCCTTGGGGATGTCCCTTTGACTGAAATGTTCTTTGATACAGCCCTGCTATTTCTGAACACTCTCTCTGAGATACTGCATTTCTTACATTAAATCAACACATTTGATTAAGGGTGGGACTGATTGTGAAAAGCATTGATTTTAAACGCCTGGGGGTGATGGGGGAGAATGTTTTTTTTTTTTTTTAAGCTATGCAGACATTTTGAGAGGCTTACATTCAGGGATGCCATTTGCCTAGCTTTGTTTATTTGCACCTTGGCACCTTTACACCGCTGGGAAACTGCAGTCTGAAAAAACTGTCAGCCGCTGTAGTAATCCGGAGCGCAAACGCCAACAAGTGCCGGAGAGCACGTCCTCTGTGCGGATGGGGTCTGGGGGCTGTATGCTGTGCTGCTTTTTGCTTACCCCACCCCCCGATGTTTCTCTCCGGTTGTGCAGCTCTGCTGCACGGTGATACCTGCTTAGGAGACCAGCGGGCGAGAGGCTGCAACCCTAGTCTGGTTTCCCAAGCGGGAAGTGGAAGAAGGTATTTAGGGATTTTAAGCTGGGATTTTCAATAAGTTGCTGGTGCTGTTTAGATACTAAATGCTCATCAGTGCAGACAGGGAACAGATATCTGAGCTTCTTCAGCAGCTCTAGCAATCTCTGGCCCTGTGGCAGCCCGTTTTAGCTAGGACTGCAAAGAAAGGGCGAGAGTGAGCCTTGCACAAACGCTGGGCAGAGCCTGGAGCGAGAGAGCCCCGTGCAACCATCTGGGCTGCTGACCAAAGGCTGCTCCCACGTTCCCTCTGCAAGGACCATGTTCACCCCTCTGCAGGTCCTTCTGAGCCTGGGCAGGCCTTTGGTGGGTCTCACTGCCCCAAGAGGAGAGCTGCGTATGAGTAGGAGGTCTCTAAATGAAAAACCAAGAGCGTTTTAGGCCAGTTTCTCAGCGAGAAATCTGAAGATCCTTAATCTTCCAGGGACTGACCTTTTTTCCTTCTGAGACTGCCCATCACAACATGATATGTTACATCTCCATTCAGTGGAGTGAATGGCTGAAGTTTCACAGAGTCATGGCAGGCATGAGTTTGGAGACAGAAGAACTGCTGAACTGTTAGATTATTTGTCACAAGATATACAATCTTTTACAGAAAAGCCTTTCACCAGCCGGTGACACGTCACTTGGAGGCGACAGCTCCAGCTGAAGTGTTTTCTTAGAAAATGGTGATTCACAGCCCCCTGCTTTTAGGAAAATTAAATCAAGAGGTGCAGGCCTTCGCAGCACCCTCCGCTTCCCAAGGACAGCGTGCCGAGGATGAGCTGTGCACCTCGTGCTCCCCTTTATCTCTTGCAGCAGCAGGGATTTGTTTTTTTTAGAGCTTGTCAGAGTGGCAGCACAGAATAAGTTGTTTCAGAGCTTACAAGTTAAATGAGGTTTATTCACAAGAGATTGAGCTACGGGAGGTTGCAGAGGGAGTGTGAGGAAGATGGGGACAGCACCTATTACAAAGCCCATGAATATAGGTGCGAAGGATGGTGCCCAGGTCCATCGTTGTAACTGCAGGAGAGGGAAGAGCTGAGGAAATGTTTGGGGAAGGATTGGCCTTCCTTCGAAGAAGGACCTAAAAAAAGGTACAGTCAATACCTTTAGATAACTACAGGGCTGAACTCATCTCTCCTGCAACACATACAGATGCAGTTATATTCCCAGGCGTTCGGGGTGAACAGGTCTTTGAAGCCTGATAGCTGCATCCATACAGGGGTCTGCCTGCGATAACCTGCTCTGTCTCTGATGGTAAATTAGCTTGGGAAAAGCGCTGGGTTAAGGGCGTTAAACTCCTTCCAGGATGCTCCATAGCAAGCTGAGGTGCCTCTGCAGAGCCCTGCCCTGAGCATAACGCCGGGAGTTTGCCTTGCATTCGCCCTTGGTTGTTGCAGCACAAGTTCTGCTCCTGCCACTTGAGCAGGAGTGAAAATTCAAGGTTATTTGGGATTTAAAGCCAGGGCTTTGGACTTTTCAAATTATATTTCTCTTATTTTTGTTGTTTTCACTGAATCCAGGGTGGGCCCTTCCTTGCCAGAATTTAACTGTCCGTTGGTCAAGCTTTGAGCGTAAGCAAAGCAGCTAGACCCCTTGGCCCGTAACTCAACGCCTCCATTTCACACAGCCCTGGGGGGCCGGGATGCAGCATCGCTAGAGGTGCAGCTTGCCCCTGGCTGCAGAGGAGTCCCAGCTGATTAGGTTACATGACATAGCTAATCTGTAGGTACCCAAAGGCAGGTGGGATGAATACTGCCGCAAGGGACTTTTTCCAAAAGATGCCATGCTCAGCATCCTTGTTCATACAACATTTTTTGAATGGATAAAGACCAAAAGACTAGCGATGGGACCAGTTTAATTCAACATGCGACCTATGCAGTGATTTAATCTACTCTCTGCCCATAAAATCTGGGATCTTTTGAAACAAGTGGAGCTGCTTCTGAAGCAATCCCTTTTAAAAGTCTCCATTAAAAAATTCACTAATTGCACATAATTAATAGATTTTCGGAACTATCCCAAAATCCACTGGTATGACTAGGAATCTGTTGCAGGCTTGAATCTTTCAGTCTTTTTAAAACCAAATTCATAATTGTTTTTGATGTAAATTGATTGATAGTGGCATGTAATGAGAGGATACAAGAAGCAGAGCTGTTAGGGAAGGGACGTTTATTTTTTTGGTTTGAGATTTTTACAGCTTGGCAGATAAACAACCAACATGTGCTATTCCTATTTGATCAAGTAATTGCAGTTCCCAGCCCTTTGCAATTAGCTGGCTGAAAGAGCAGTATGGCCAGTGCTGACTTCTGTCCTTAGCAGTTATTAGGAAAGGCACTGATGGTGTAAAAGTAGATAATTGGGGTGGGAGATAATTAATACATACTGCATACAATAGACCATATGTAATACTTTGTAAGCATTAGACTGAGTATTCTGTGTGGGTGGATGGGGAGGTATATGTGGTTTCTAGGGAAGTATATCCATATTTATGTGGATGTGGATGTGGATGTGTATACGCACTCACATTCCTACTCGGCAATGTGTACATTCCTATTCAGTATATCAGTACATACTTTTTAGCTTTTTGAAACTGTTACCCTTGATGCATCCTCTAGGATGGAGCTTGACACTAGTAATTGTGTGGCTGGCTCGATGGTACTTGGTAAAATAATAAGAATAGAGGAGAGTAAGGCGCTTAAGTGATGCTTAAGTTAATCTCATGCCTTCCCAGAAAGCTGAGCAGCACACTAACTAGCTATTCCTGAAAGAGGAAGGAAAAGATGCGGTTCAAGATGGAAAGCGTCCTGCTGTCTCTTCTTTTCTGGCACAAAGGTATGCACTTTGCCTCCTGCGAGGCGCTTTCGGATGTCCCTCTTTGTATTTCTTGCTTCATCCACACTTCTTTATTGTGCCACAGGCTGGGGTACAGAGTGAGCTCTTCTCTACGTTCTCCTGGAAGCATAATAATTTGAGGAATGGAAAAATTCTGGAAATGTGTAATTTATGTACATGAGTGAGCAGCATTCTTACAGCTCTATGAATATTCAGTAGTACAACTCTGTTTCACCAAGTAATTGCAGTGCAAAAAAATTGCCATATAATTTGTCAAAATATGAATTTGCAAAGAAAATTGTAGTGCAGCTGAGGCAGTGAGTAAATAATAATGCTGATTTGAAAAATGAGGTACAGTATAGCATGAAAGACTGGGCCGTATTAATCAAAACTCTTGATTAATCAAAAACTGGTCATTTTTCCCTAACAGCAAGGCACTCTATTTATGCCAGTTCAGATTTGCCTTTTTTAAAGACTCTTTCAGGTATTTTGTCCTGGAAAAAGACTTCCAAAGGCACTTTAAGAACAAAAAGCAGTTATAAGTCAAGAAAATGGGGAAGCATTTACCAACTTTCAGGCTCTCTCACATTTGCTTTTAAAAAAGTAACAATGATAGCAGATAAGCAGGAGCTAGCAGAAGCCAGAAAATTCAGGGTCACAGTCTCCTTCCATTTTAATTAACCCAACTGTGGAACAAGAAGATCATATCCTGAGGTGTGTTTGAATGTTTGACTTCATCAAAGTCCATAGCAAAGCTCCTATTATCTTAAACGAGGCTGAGATTACTCTTGCTAAGTGTTAAGTAGTATCTACCGACCTTAATGTATAAATAGAATATGGTGTATCAGAGTGGGGGAAAGATTTAGCAGACAGTTCAGCTTTTCCCTCCACAGATGTTGAATTCTCAGTGTTCTGCTTTGTCTAGTTTTTTAACTCATGCTCTATTCCCATTGATTATTTTGGTCTGTCAAATTTCATGAATAGGAAAGTGTTCCTAAACAATCCATATCTCAATTTCATCCTATTATGCTTAGCTGTACCCCACTCTGTCTAATTAAATAATAGGTCTTCCTTTTTATCATCCATCAAATATTTGTGCATTGTTCTCATACCTTATCTCTCTGCTGTCCTTAGTTTCACATGGAAGGGTTATTAGCGCCTGAACTTCTTGGAACTGAGTTTTGAGCCAGGCTCCAGCATTTTTTCCCTACTGGTAGCATAACTGTTATTAATCCTTGGAATGAATTTATACCTTGCTATGAATCCCAGACACAGCTTGCTTTTAATAGACACCCACACATCAGGATATTTTCAGAGAGCCTGCAGTGAAAAATTACTTGCAGGATCACTTTCCAGGCATCACTTTTTTAGTATTTAATTTATTTTGTTAATTTCTTATTTTTTCTCTCTGCCGCATAGTCCAAGTGTCCTCTTCTGCATAAATAGCAAGCATCGATCCTTTGTCCAGGTCTCCCTCATAGTACTACCTCTTCCACCGTCGAGAAGGTGCTGTCAGGTCACTCCTCTAAGCCACGTGCGGTGATGCCGTAATCGGCTCCTTAGTGATTTTCCTGAGCAGAACAAGTGGCTTAGCAGAGCACCCCCAGCCCCCCTCACCTCACTGGGCTCATGTTTGCAGGGGCCATCTCCAAAGCAGCAGCAGATGGTGCACGAGGCAGGCTCCTGCTATAAGAGCCGGAACAGCTGTTGGTCCTCGGTCCAGATGGTAGAAGAGAGCACCCCGAGCTTTGGATTGGCATGAACATGTTTTTAGCACATTGAATGTGGCATGCCTGCGACGCATTACTCCGCCGGGGCTCGTTACACGTTGGAGAATAAGCGCATCTCGACAGCTGAAAAGATAGGATTTTTCTCCTATACGTTTTGCGGCTTTGACAAAAGCAAAGCCCCAACTCTGCCTCCAGATCACAGTAAATCTGTAACACCTTTAGTTACACCCTTTGGCATAATCAGTACCTCTAATGAAATTACTGTGCAGGCAATGTTCTGCATACCTCTAAGGAGGACGGAACAAACATGGGAACAAACATAAGGAACAGATATAAGAAGGGAAATATTAACAAAAACTTTCAAGTGAACAGTTTTGAAGTGAAGATAATTATACGTCTCTCAGAAAAAAAGGAGGGGGAATGTTGATTTTTTTTTCAAATTATTTATGGCTTTTTCAAATATTTTCACAACATAAAAAAAGTTGTAGAAACATTACTGAAGGCAGTCGGCATGAAAGAAAAGAGTGTTGATTAAAGAGGTGTAATTCTCGTCATTTAGATAAGCTTTTCATCACTTCTAGATAAATAAAAGTGAGTACTAAATACAGTACAATGCAAATGCAAAAGAGATTAAAAAATATTTAAATAAATAAAATGAAACGAGAACGAAAAGGAGAAATAAGCAGATGGAATAAAACCGAAAAAAAGGTTGCACAAAATGAATTTGAGGAGCAGGGGCAGGGCTGAAGCACAGAGAGGCGCTTAACACGAAATGGGAGTCTCTCTCCTCTGCATGCAGGCCCTGGGGCCTCTGGCCTCTAGTCCCTGGCTGCAGTCTTGTCCTGCTGAGCGGTGCCGGGGCCAGCCGGGGCCGGGGCCAGGCAGCTGGGCTTCCCTCCGGCTGCTTCCATATCTTCTTTAAAAATGTCCAGGGCAAGCGGTGCTTGGGAAATCCCCTGCTTTCCTGCATCCCCGAGGCCCCGGCGAGCAGCTTAGCAGACTATCGAGAGAGGTTCCCCCCTGGCCTCCATGAGCTCTCCAGAATATCATTGATGGGGGAAATATTTTAAGCGTTTGGCACAGTACGGCTTTAAGGGTTGAGAGCACCCGATTTTCCCGGGGCCGGCAGCGCTTGCTCCCATGGAGCCGTTTCAAGCCCCTCTGCCTCAGTCTCCTCCCTACAGGGTTGGGACAGTTCACCTTCTTCTCTCTAAGGATATTTGGGTGCAAAACACTTCCTGCCGCAGCTGCGTGGCAGTAAGGCTTGCCATGCGGGAAGGTGCCAGGCACCAGAAAAACATCGCTGCCTGCAGCGAGTGTTGCGTTCCTCTGTGGTGGCGGCGTCGGCCCCTTGAGGAGGCGCTTTTTTCAGGGCCGGTGTGCCCTGTTTCTGCAAATACACCTTGCTTCCTCGGGCTGGCGCAGCCTTACGTAAGTCGCTTCGCTCTGCTAGCACCATTTCCAGAGCTGTACGTGGGATATAAAAATACCCTGGTTTAATAATATAGCAACCCACAAACTAGCACCTGATGAGCGCAAAGGTTCGGCAGTGCTGTTTTCGGTATCTTGACCCTTTGTGCTGCTCATATACTATCTTATATAACCCTCCTTTCTGCCTCTATGTTGCGGCGTTCAAGAAAAAAAGCAACTTAAAATTCAGCGAGTTGCAGCAAATGTGATAAAACGAGTGTCATTCATTCCACTCACCTCTTTCATTTCTCTGACAGCTTTTCTGAGCTTCCAGGCACATTTTTTCCCATTTTTTAAAATGTTCTCCTTCCCCCCTGAAGTGGCTCACACAGGCAACAGGGAAGCGGCTAACCAGCCCCGCAGAAGGAGCAGTCGCACTGGGACCGAGTTGCGTTATGCACAGAGGCGAAGCAGAGAGAATGTAATTTTGATCATTTCCCTGAGCTCCGTTAAACTGAGATCTTGCTTGTGCAGATGAGAGGTAAACAGGCTCACACATGCAGGCTGACACATGGATCTAGGCCACCTAAAGTATAAAGTCGATAAACAAAATCATTAACATTTTCCACATGCACGCTTTGCCTACAATAACTATGTTTATGTGAACTTATTCTGGTAAATTGAGTGATTGACGTTAATCCTATGTTATATTTTATTTGTCCATTTTATTTTATAATGGGATTTCTCATGCCTATAGATCTGTCATTAATTCTAGCCACTCTAGAAAGAAGGGCTTGCTATTGTGGATCTGAGGCTGGGACATTTAAATATATTTTCTCACACGTGACCTTCTTCAAACATTTTCTCTTGTTTAGTCACGTTTTTAACGATCAGAGAGATATGCAATTGGAGACATGCAGTTATCTGCTCCTGTCCTTATGATGCCAATATTTAACTGCACGACAGTTTATCTCACGTTTACCTGCCTTTACCTGACTTGACTTGAATTCCCTTTGTTTCCAGCCACGTGACTGCCTTCAATGTTTACAGAAAAGCATAAGTGTTTCCTCTGCAACTCCCTGTACACGCTGTGTGATTTCCTCACCTTGAGTTTTGCAAAGTGCAGGAGCCAAACAGACCTCACGTGGAGCTAGAGGATTTCTTGTGATGATTGTTGTGCAATGCGTATTAGATCTAAATCCTACCTCAAAGAGCATTGTAAGCACGGGGCTGGCGGGGCAGGCTACCTTGGGGGCAGCGCTTCAGCCCCAGCTCAACAGGGCAGGCGCTGGAGCACAAAATCGTCCCCAGAGCCCATGCTATTCATGCACGCCAATGCTTGGGATGCCCCACATTGCAGGGTAGGATAGAAGGACAGGAAAGGGACATGCCCTATCTAATCATCTTTCACAAACACGCACAGATAATACTTGATTTCACTGAATTGATGGCTTGCTGAATGTCCTAGGGCACTACAGGGGCTGCAAATGAGGCTCTTTCCTTTTTTATTTATTTATTTTTTTTTCAGTTCTGTACTTTTAAAACAACAGCCCTGGGCGGCCATGCAGGACTTATGACTCTCCCATGAATTGCGGTAATTTGTTCTATCTGACCTACAATTACCAATTATCTTTGTAACCTTCCTTGAAGGCAAACATGCTTGCTATAAAAGGATGCTGGCCATCACATTTTTAGACTATTGGCAGCCAGCTTTCCTCTTCATTTCCTTTATAGGACAGGGCCCATCAAGGCTGTAAACACACCCAAATATCCGTTACTAGTTTTTTTAGCCAACTGCAGTCAAGGGCATCTTTTCCACTTCCCTCTCCTTTCCTTTCCTGGTGCCAGTGAGGGGTTATAAGGCTCTGCTGCCCAGCTGGGAAGTTTAGTGCATTCACAGCTACTGTTTTAGTGTATTGCCAACTGCCTAAAGCCAAGCCTGTTGCTCCGCCGGGGGCTTTCTTCACGGATGGAGGTGCATTGAGCCTTTCTATGTAGTCCCGGGAGCTGGGCAGTAAAGCTTGGACAGCCGCTGTCCAGGGCCATTTTGCACATCCTCCTCCAGCGTTGTGCAGGCCAATGGTGATGCTCCCTGTTCCAAAGGCTGTGGCTCCTGGCGGTCTGGTCAGCTGGCTGAGACGCTCGCTAGAGTGGCCTCCTTTGTAGTTAACCTTTTTCTTAGCTCAAATAAGCAAAGTTAGTTCTCCTACTTCCAACATTCACATCAGCAAGCCACACAGTGGTGGGTGGAAGCCCTCAGTCAGTGGGGATGCATGTCTTCGTCCCTGCCCTGATATTGCATTTGTGCCACTTAAGTGTCTCAGGGCTTCCCCAGTAATACAGGATAGCTGCATTTAAGACTGGCTTTTGTGCTTTGAATTCACACCCTTGCTTGTTTTGCAATAATTTCCCCAGGTTGATAAGGCCTAAAAGCCCAGCAACTGTTGTGCTCAAGATTAGGCTATCACTGGCAGAGAGGTGCAGCCACCCAAGCAATGCCAGGTGGCCGGAACAGGAGAGTTTGTTCTTCTTGATTTGAGTAGGTCCTACTGTGCAGCCACCCATCTGAAACTTTCCTTCTCTTTTTTCCTTTTGTTTCACTCACAGCATCTGTCACTGAGGTGCCAAATTCTGATCTTCGCTTCTCCAATAGCAGGGAAGGTCTCGAGAGATTCGCTTATGGGGGTCACTACGTATCAAAAGTAGCATCCCTACATCAGCATAGTCATTCACATCCTCTTCCCCAAGCAGTAGGTACACAGTCTGCAAGAACGGGCTTCATGACAACGCAGTGTCCTTCATGCTGGGCAAACATACTGTGCACATTATTTATTGTAATGAATTACTGGGTATGCATTTGAAGAGGAAAGAGAAATCATATATTCGTTGACTAGTTTGTTTACCAGATTTTCTCTCTAGCTCCTAAGGGTACCTAGGATGCTGCATGGGAGCCAAGCCAGTAGACAGAGAGGTGCTAGCGCCTTTGCTTTCACCTCTGCATAGCTCCACTTACTGGTCGGGTCATTCCTAGGCCAAAGTGCATTTAACCACGGGAAGGAAAACAGGAAACGATTCTACAAGTTTTCTCCACAAAAAAAAAAAAAAAATCAGTATTTTGAAGGTTGAAATAAAGAGACTAAAAAACATTTAGCAAATGTACATCTTGAATGTTGAATGCCCCAAAAGTGAACAAATCAAGCCCACCTCCATCAGAGTGCCTGTGACCAACCAGCTCAGGGCTGGACAGTGGTGACTTGGCTGTGGGTACACATACTGGCCTCGCAGGGGTTCGGGTTTAGCCTGTCATCGCTGGGAAACACCGCACACTTGTGGTTGTTCAAACCCAGGGGCTGATTCAGCCCTCCCTTGTGGATTAGCAGGGAACTCGTCGCTCACCCTCTGCATCCAAGAGAAGGGGTCATGCTCCATTTTATTTTGTAGCACAGATGTCATCTGAATGCCCCTGATTTTAATCCAATAACTCAGTCCAACAACTCAGTCCAATAACTCGGCAAACTTAGTCCACCTAACCACCACTCGAGTCAGCATAATTGACTTGATAATTGCTAATAACTTTATCTAAAAGTATGTGTTCAGAATACTTGTGGCATTAAAGTGAGCATCAAGCAAGCAGGAGGCACGCTGCATTGCTTCTATTGGCAAAGGTGGTACAGTTTTGATAAGTGGGGAGATCCAGATCTTTATCGTATTAATCTGACCTCAGGGAGTGTGTTAACTTAAATTACCCTAGTGCTATTTTAAGTTAACCTGTTTTGCCCCATATTGCACAGCACAGCTGATAAGGGATAATGCACTATGTGACCTAGTGATTTGTACCTTCACTTTGATGTTCTTGTTGTACAGTGCGGTCACAGGGCTTGAATATGTAACAGCTGTGTTGAGAAAGGTAAAACATCAGATTGTGTATGATCCTGAGCCTGGGATTTCCCGAAGGCCAGACCCAGAGATGTGTCCTTCGCTGAGTCTTTTTTCCTGACTGCACTCAGCTGAATGCCATTACTCCTTACCACTGAAGTTTTCCTACTGCATTCAATGAGGTCTTGATGCCCCCCCTGCCCTTCTCTTGTGCTTGACTAAAAGATACATCTTTTTATTGTAGCCCTACATTTACCTCTTCTGTTCAAGGCTGATGTCTTGGGTTAATGTGGTAAGTTGCAGATGCCAGGAATGCTACCCTGGAAAACTGAAGTGAAGGGCAACATCTCTGCATTAAAGAAATGATTTATTGTGGTCTTTCTTTCCGATCCTTGATACATTGAAGTTGAATGTCAAACTCTAGGAGCAGTTGCATTTCAGTAATAATCAGATCTTTCTACATAGTTTATGTGTCAGCTGATTATAATTGCACAGCATTTTGTGCATGAATCTTTTGAGATGAAGCTTGCTATATAAACGTAAGCTGTAAATTACCAGCATTGGTTGGACCTTGCTAGTCTCAGCAGTGGAACAGTGCATGAGTGAATAAATTATAACTAGATTTCAGTGCATAATTCAGTCTCTAATCATTTGATAAAAAAGCCTCTTTTCCTATTCATAAAACCTCTGCTTAGAGATTGCTATTTTCTCATGACACCTGTACTCAAGTTATTTACCTGCTCTATAGCTTGGTCCTTGGTGACTTGCAAGTTCACTGCAGGTATTGGAAACGTAATGTTTGACACTTAAATGGTGTTGATGATTTTTCAGTCATATGCTTTTGGTTTTTTTAATTTCATAACTGTCTGGGCACCGTTCTGTGAGGGTCCAGTCCGAATAGTATTAATACTATTAGTCTGCTTTTGACTTCATTGGGAAATGGAAGAGCCCTTTAATCAAGGAAAGGGCTTGTGAAAAAGCCATTGCTCAAGGACAGGCAGAAAATAAAACAGGTCAGATATTACAAAAATAGCACTTCTTGCTTTGTGGCTGCAACAACTGATCTTCTCTAAGGAAAAAAGAAAAAAAGAGTTTTGTGTGTAAGTTGGGAAGGCCTGTTTACATTTCATTTTCTTCTGCCTGTCTCATTCAGAGGGAGCGGTCTCATGACAGACACCTCGAGAGGTGTTGCAACTCCCCTGAAATCAATAGCAATTTGCTGTTGGCTCCAGACTGGGATTTCACCCTTGCGGTTCATTAGCTCGCAAGTTTTACGGGCAAAGTGGGAATGGAAAACTGTAAGGAAGGAAGCAGGAAAAAAAGGAATAGGGGCAAAATAAGCAGGAAAGTGGAGGCCTAAGGAGCCAACATGGGGTTTTTTTCGGGACATTTCAGGCATATCTGGTTGGAAAGAAGAGACATCAAAGCGATCAAAAAGAAACCTCCGTAGGGGAATAGCACCAACAGAGGCATATACAGTGGCTGTGAGCTTTAACATCTCCTGCTCCTGCCCACAAGAGGTGTCCATGTCCTCTTGCTTTGCCGTGGCAGTCAGCTTGGGGAAGTGTATTTCATTTGTCAGCCCTTCCGTGAATCGTTTATACCCAGTTAAGGAATGAATATTCATTGCATTTCCTGATATTTATTGGCAGCATTTTCATTTCTTGTCTTTCTTTCTGTTCTTTCTTCCATGCCTGGCTGCCTTTCCAGCAGTGCTGGCGCTGTCCCCCGGTGAGGTAAGTCTATCTATCTATCTGGCTTATTTGGCTGCTGTTTAAATACCATGGGCCCAACAGCACCTGGAGCTGAGCCCATGGACTCCTACAGGCCCTAAGAGAAGTGGGAAGTGCTCAGCACCTCCAGGGTCCAAATGGAGTAAGGCAAGAAGGTTTTGGGATGACATTTTGTGCGAGTTTGTTACCAGTTTCAGAGTGCCGGTCTCTTTTCCTGCAAATTGCTGTAAACAGACAAGGTCTGGTGCTGCAGCCTGTGGCTTTTTACACCTGTGCGCAGAGCCAGCACCAAGCAGGAAGAAAGCACGGCCGAGTCGGAAAGGTGATGTTCAGTGTTCAGCCTGCAGCGCAGCTGTGGAGGCCCCCCACTTCCCGACACGCTCCAGGAGCGGGTTATTGAGCCGGGAAGGAAGCAGCGCAGGCTCCTGTTCCTCAGGATGGCAGAAGTGGTTATGTTTGGGTCTCCGAGCCCAGGTGAAAGCTCTGAACTGGAATCAAAGGTGGCATCATCCTTCATTTTGTGTCAGGCTTGCCTGAAGTTATGGCCTCTGAAATCACTTGACAGCCTGCGCGCGAAATGTGGGGATGCAGCGTTATGGCCCTCGCAGAGCTCAGGAGTGACTCGGGTGCCGAGCAGTGTGACTGTGGCAGCTGCGGCCATGCCCACACATTGACCCCTAGGCATTAACTACATTTACTGGGAACCTTAAGGCTGTAATGACACCACAGTTCAGTAACAGCCAAATAGGGTATAAATTTCAGGTATAGACAGGCATTTTTCCCCTGAGGATATAGCTGTACATGACTACACAGGTTTCTAGCTTCTGGACTCAAATTTAGCTTCATGTTGCTATTTTTGATGACTATGTTGGTCTTTTTTTTGCTTTCCCGTAGGATGAGAGACTGGAGCTGTGGCACAGCAAGGCTTGCAAATGCGATTGCCAAGGAGGTCCTAACTCAGTTTGGTCCAGTGGGACTAACACCTTAGAGTGCATGCCAGGTAATGGGCTAATTCTCTTTTGGCAATGTTTGTACTGTGGCACGCAACAGCTTTCCTTTTGTTGCACCCTGCATTGCAACGGTGTATGTTACAACAGCAGCCCTGTCCGATGCTCAGTGACCAGTCCGGTCAACATTTTAGGATGTTCAGAAGAGGATATTAGAGCCAGCGTCACTGTGTCACTGAGGGGGCAAGCTGCAATGGCTTGCTTGATACAGCAGGTCCTGCTGAAATGCCAGGCAGGCCTGCAAATCTCAGTTATATGTGCCAGCGAGACAGTAAGGAGGATGCTTTAAGGGGAAGAAAACAAATGAAGGTGGGTCTGGGTGCAGCAGACAGTATTTTTAGGGCCAGGGGAGCTGCGCGTGTGGGAGGTGTCCTGTACCGGTGGGGAGGGCTCAGCCGCAGGCAGAAGGGCTGCAGCAGCAAAGCCCCGGGGGCAAAGCGCCCATGGGGCTGTGGGAGTTGTGCCCCGGGAGGTTACCCAGGGCGGACCCTCGCCAGCAGGGCCCGGTGGGTGCTCACCTGCCCTGTCTGTACTGAGTCCCACGGTGGTGCTTCTGCAACCCTCCTAGGGGAACCTATCTCCATGCCCAGGGTTTGCTTTATGAAACCTTTCCTACTCTCCTAGACTGACTCTTTCTTGCTACAGTTTTAGCCTATGACTTCTCGACCTCTCCACAAGAACCGAGGACAATGGTTTAATCCTTCTTTGCAGCATCTTTTTATGCAAAAAAAAGCCCCCAGTCGTGTTTCCCTCGGCCTTCTCCAGGCTGCCTCTGTGCAGCTCCTTTAGCTGCTCTTCACAGGCCATGCTTTCTAGATTTCTGATCATGCTTCCCTTTCCTCTTCATTCCTTTCAACTGCTCCATATTTTCCATGACGTAGCGCCCCAGAAAGGCTTTATGGGTGCCAAACTGAACTTTGAGTTTAGTCTGTATATCCCACAGAAGCCCTGCTCCTGCTCACACCTCTGTCACACACGTTTGGACGTGCTCACCCCTTCTTGGGCCAGGCACCAAAAGTCGTATCTGCCTGATGTGCCCACTAGCAGCCACTTTTCGCAGCTCCTGTAAGAGGCTGTGTGCTGGCTTCAGATGTATTTTGTTGCCTCTGGCTTCCCCGAGGAAGATACACAGGGGAACTGGCCGCCCTAGTGCTCAGCTTTTGGCATCGCTGCCCTGAAAGAAGAGACGATTAAAAGAGTTACCCTGGAAGTGCTCTGAGTGCAAGCCAGGACAAGCTAAAAGCAAATAAAATCATATATTTACAAGAGACAGAAGAGATGACGCCGTTTGCAGTGCTTGTAGGAATAAGTAAACAGAAATGAGAGCGGGGAAAACAGATGTTTCTATCCCACGCTTGTGTTAGATATAAAGGCTCCTGTCCCATGGCATGACTCAGCTGACAAGTGCACAGACGCTTTCACGCAGTCCTGGCTGAGCAGTCGGCCTCCCACCCAGCCTGTGTCCTCCGAGAGCTTTCCCCCTGTGTGCCCTGCTCCCTTTGCAGGCCACATCCCCCCCAAGAGCCCCCCACTGCTTTCTCCTTCCCCTGCTCAGGGCTATTTGCTAACCCCGGCAGGAGGCTCCAGCCCTTCCTCTGCCGAAGCCACTGCCTGCCGTCCTCCACTTTGGCGGTGCGGACGTAGTTTGGGCATTGCCCAGATGCTTCTTGCACGCCCAGGTAAACTCTTAGGAGAGGATTTGTCTGACCAATTGTAACATCTGCAGTGCAGACGTCTATATGTGAACTGGTCGTCCGGGTTCCCTTACTGCTGAGAGGTGATGGATGCGCCCAGAGCCCACAGCCGCCGTGGGGAGATTTCCTGCCCAGGTTAGGTGTGGAGAGGGTGCTCCCACACGCTTCTAGCATTTTATAGGGCTTTTTCTTGAATAATGAATATTAGCACAGTACCTTGCAGCTCTCTCTTTTCCTAAGTACGGGGATGACTGTGTTACGCATTGCTCAGGCAAAACACAGAGGTGTGAATCAGGATCCCTGCTATTTTGTGCCAGCCTGTAAAACAGCCATGCTAAAGCACCAGCAGAGCTCTCCCCTTTGCTGTCAGACAGCCCATGCTCTCTTGGCATGGCCGGAGAGGGCGCAGCCAGCCCGATAAACAGTTCAAGAGTTTTCCTGAGGTCAGCGATAACCGCCTTAAATAATTTAGCTGGTTTGGCTGGGCAGCCCCCAGACATCTGCTTCGTGGATCTCTCTGCATGGCGCTGTCTTACGCACCAGAAGGTGACCTACTAATTGTATTACGGTTGGGCGATCTGTGGATTAGCGTTGCTAAAAGTAAAATTGTTCTGCCTTCCACGCGCCACGTTCGAGATAAGCTTGCCAAGTAGTAAATGTGTGGGGCCACCTCGGTCCAGCCTCAGCAGGCCACTTCCTTCACAAAGGGAGAAACTTTGAATACTGCAGGAAGACTGGTGGTGACATTATGTACTGATCACAAGAAGATAGATCGCTGTAAGTCCACGAGGTGGTTTTACTCCTGCCACTGTGCCACATTCAGCCCTTCAGAAAGGCAAAAGCTAATCTCCATCTCCTTTTGATTTTTTCTTTAATGTCTTATAAAAGGCAAAGTTCATGCTATGTGCACAGAGGTTTCAAGCAGTCTGTACTTGCAGTTGTTATTCGACTTTCCGGGTTTGATATTTCCAAGCCTGGAGGAAGGCGTGACGTCAGCTATGTGTTTTTGTGGGGGAAGATACATTAATGAGATATTGACCGAACAAGATATGTTAATGAGATAGCCATGTTTAGGGTATTGACCTAGTGGAATTTGCTAATGAGACATCGACTGCTCTGCTGAAGTGCTCTAGTGTTATACAAATAAGCTGGTAAAAAGCCTGTGGAGGAAGGGGCCATGCGGTGCTCTCCAAGGCTCTCGGACACTCTCCGCTCACCTGCCCTTTTTAACCACGAAGCATTAGACTGGTCTTTCAGACATGGCGAAGACCTGAAAATGCCCTACCCACAAGTGAAACTGCTTAGAGCTTCACTTATTCATTTGTTGTTGAAATCCATGAAACTGTGCCAAACCAGAACAATTGACATAGTTGCCCTGATGGCACCACGTGTGCAATGGGAATCTCCCCTGCTTCGTTATGTGAAGAGTTATGAAGATGCTGTCCATGATTATAGACATTTGTGCAGGCAATTCCCTTGTGAAGCTTGTGAGCACCTTCCTGTGCTATCTAGATACACAGTGATGATCTGCCCTTATAACAAAAATGACAATACCAAAAAAAGTCAGGTCCAAGGAGCATGCAGGCATTCTGCAGGGTGACATCACTAAAGGCTTGCTATCAAGAGTGTTGTATGGTGGCAGAGTGCGCAGACAGTTTTCATGATAAATGAGTATTTCTGCCCCTACTGGTTTTGGTATCCCACGAGAGCCTTGGCGAACCTCTCAGTCTACGGGCAGGCACCATGGCATGGTCAGGTTTGACAGCCCCTGGCCCAGCTGGGACCCCCAGCAGCGTGGCTGAAGGTGCAGGAGGGTGGAGGAGCTGGTCCCAGTGGGGCCTGGGAGCGCGGGGTGACATGCTTGGCAGAGGACTGCAGGCAGCGGCACGGGGCAGAAGAAACCCCCCCTCAGGGCAGGGCCTCTGGGAAGGAAAACCAGCACGTGTGAGAGGGAGGAGGAACTGCAGTGCTGAGATATTTTTCTCCTGCCTGAAGACTTCAGAGAAGATCTTGGGTTGAGGTCACCAGATGTGGTGGCTGTATGGGGTATTTCGGGAGGGTTTGTGACTTCTGTCTGGGTTTGTATGCAGAAAATCCAAGCTGGGTCATGTCTTGCCTGGATGGGTTGCAATATGCTTGGTCTGCATCACTGCCCTGTTTTGACATTGAAATACGCCCCGTGGGGGGCTGGTCCCTTCTCAATTCTGCTAGCCTAGGCTCCCCTGAGGAGGGTGCTCATGGGGGCGATCTGCCTAAGCTGTTGGTGCGTGCACCTCTCTCACCATGGGCTTTGCACAGGCGAGACTTCCAGCTGAGCTTTGACAGCAGCTTTTTAGCCTTTTTGGAGAAACTGTAAGGTGTAGCTGAGCACTTATTACCGCCTGAGTCCCTCAGCCTGGAGGAGGTACAGGCCGCCAGGCAAGCCATGGAGACCAGTGCGTGGATGGCGTTGTGGGGACAGCCATGACCACTTCAAGCAAGGGCTTATTTTCATCCGTGAGAGTCAGCTCTGGAAGGGGGCAGGAAGATCTGAAGGCAAAAACTCACAAGAGGACCCCTGAGCCTTCAGTAGGGACAGTTTCTTCCCACTGGAAAAAAGGTCTAGGCATTGTACCTCACTTACTTACACAGGAGTACCTGCAGGTTTTCCATAAGGCAAGCCGATTGCCAAATGCAAAGATAATCTCTACAGCAGAAAAAGAAGATTTGAGGATGCTTTTTGAGGGATAATCAGAGCAGTTGCGTAATTTTGCTGTGTAGGCACAGCCATAAATCAAGACAGTTCTAGTGAGTGGAGGAGCTGAGGGTGATAAGGCCCAGCAAGAAAAACCCTGTCCGACTTTTTTCAAGGACCTGGCAGAGAGGCTGACAGCCCGGAGGCTGAATCCAGGCTGCTGACAGCACTCACAAGAAGAAGGAGCTTCAGCAGCCACAGCATTCAAATAAAGCCTTCCCCTCCAAACACTGGTAGCCGCCCAGACCCGGGAAGTTTCATGACTGCATACCAGGGAAGAGTTAGAAATTAAGAGCCCAAAGCGCCAGGGCAGCAACCTGCAGAGGTGGCAGTCTGGACTTAAGAGCATCTTCAGCATCCTGGCCCTGGAGGGACTAATTAAACCACAGCGTTGACAAAGAGCTGAGCGAACCCAACCAAGAAATAAAATCACTTGTTTCCCATAGAGCAAACCGCTAGTCTATGTTTTCCTTCGTGTCCTAGAGTGCCCGTACCACAAGCCCCTTGGCTTTGAGTCCGGCGCTGTCACCCCCGACCAGATAAGCTGCTCCAACCCCGAGCAGTACACGGGCTGGTATTCCTCCTGGACCGCCAACAAGGCCCGCCTCAATGGGCAAGGCTTCGGGTAAGTCTGGAGAAATGTTTCCTGGCACTAGCGAGGGGGCCCGTGCCCCTTGCCACAAGGCCCTGGCCCTGCAGGGTCACTGCACAGGGCAGGCACTGCCGGGTGCCAGGGCTGGGGGTCCCGGCACCCCCCAGGCAGCATTTCGGCTGGCCACCGTGGGGACGACGGGGGTGCCCCCCGCGGCGGGTGGGCGC